TTCAGAAGATTCTTTCTTGCCAACCATAAATGCACTGCTAAGGCTGGGTGTGGTGGCACCAGCCTGTGATGCCAGCATTTGGGAAACTGAGGCAGGAGGACAGCTGTGAATTCGAGGTCAGCATAGGCTACAAAGTGACTTCAAGAGCAGCCTGAACTGCATGATGAGATCTTGTCTCAAAAAGAAAGAAAGAAATGTATTGCTAAACATAGAACCTGGGTATGCAGCACAAGTGTAATAATTTTCCTACTATGGTAAGCATTTCTGTGTGCTCTTGTTAATCCTGCCTTTAGTATTTTCTGGTCTCTAAGACAGACACAATTTTTTTGTTTCAAATTTGTGTGAAAATTATTACTGTTTTTTAAAAAATCCTATTATGCATAGCCAGGTGTGGTGGTGTGTGTACCTGTCAGGCCGACACTGGAGACTGAGACAGGAGGATCACTGTAAATTTGAGGCTAGCCTGGCCTACATAATAAGTTCAAGGTCAGCCTGAATTACATAGTAACACTCTGTCTCTAGGTGGGTGGGAAACCCTGTCTCAAAATTAAAAAGGCCTAGAGGATTTAGTTTAGCAACACAGCATCCCTGGGTTTGATCCCCCATTACTGGCAGGGGAACAGAATTTTATGTAGAGTGAAAGCATATTTATACTCTCTTTTTTGTGTAACTTCATTGAGTGTATAAATACATTAATTAAACAATACTATTTTTCCAAAACATCTTAGCCAGATTTCATGTGTTATAATAAAAATGTTTTTTAAAAAATTTTTTGGCAGTGCTGGGGATCAAACTCAGGTCCACTCACAGGTCAGACCAGTGCTCTACTACTAAGCCACACCCCTGCCCCAAGTAACTATTTTCAAATGAACCAGATAATTTGTATGTATTTATGGGGTTTTTTTCCGCCCCCAGCATCAAGGATTGAACCCAGAATGGTTTTTCTTGTTTGGTTTTGGGTTTTTGAGCCAGGGTTTCACTACCTAGCACAAACTGGCCTCAAACTCACAGCAATCCTCGTGCTGCAGCCTCTGGAATGCTGGGATTACAGGCATGCACTGCGAATGCCTGGCCAGAATGTTTGCGTTGAGCTGCGTTCCCAGCCCTTTTTCTGTTTCTTAAGAGAAGGTCTGTCTTATTGCTCAGGCTGGGCTGGAATCTGTGATGTTCCTGCCTGAGTCTCCCAGTGCTAGGATATCACAAGTGTGCACCACCACACCCCCCTGATTTCTGTTTGTTTCGTTCTACTTTGCTTTTCTTGTTTGCTGTCCTGGGGACTGGACTCAGGGTCTTCCTACTTACTCTGTATTTCCCAGCTACTTAAAAAAAATTTTTTTTGTGTGTAATTTTGAGACATGGTCTAAGTCACCAAATTACCCGGGGTGGGTTTGAATTTGTCTTCCTCCTGCCTCAGGGAGATTCCCAGAGTACTGGGACTACAGGAATGCACTACTGCATCTGGCTGATTTTTGTGATTTTGAGTTCCAATATGAACACAGTTTTGTTTCGTGTTCACTTGGACATTCAGTATCGAAGTTTCTAACTTTTAATAAATTAGGAATTTAATAGCTCATTGAGATAAATAGCCAAAATGTGAAATACAAATGACAAACTGCAGACCAATACCTGAGTTTAATTAATGTTGTAGTCAGGGGTTGTGAGGAGAACAATTTAGAATCAGGACACAGAATTTATAATATTGTTTTATGATGGTCATCCAGAGTTTAACACAAGAAAGTGCAGAATATCTATCCACAACACTAAAGACTCAGAATATTCAGCCAAGGGCCTGGATCCCACAGCAATGTCCTACATGAGTCCAGATGAAAACCTAGTGCCCATGACAGTGCCTCCCATGAGTCCAACTGGAGGTCTAGAGCCCATGAGAAAGGACTCACGCCAGTCTGTTTTACAGATCTGTGCTAGGAAGGCCCAAAGATCAGTGGTGGAAGCTAGAAAGTCTATGCCAGCAAGCTGAAGGAGCTGTGATGATAGGGTGAGGGTTCTTGCTGGAGCTGAGAAGTCACGCTCAAAACAAAGATCCAAGCTGTCCTGAAAAGCACCACAGCCATCCTCAGCCCTGAGCTCCTCCAACAAACAATAAGAACAGTCGAGTATGTACATGCCAGAGAACCAGCATGAGGAGTTTGTCCTGGAGATTAAATGGTGCATGTCTTCCCCTCTGGAGCTAGGAAGTGATTCTCAATGTAAAGACCAAAGCTCCCCCAAAGTGAACCACAGTCACTAGACAACAAGGTCCCAAGCTCCTCTGATGACTATGGTCAAACTCACACTGGGGAAGCTAGTCATACGAGCTCCTCCAGGAGAACCAATGGCTCAAACAGCAACATGTAGGAGAACCCATAATGCCTCACTCATCTGCTCCACATCTCTATTTATGCTGGCAACTTTCCTCAGGTGGAACATCTATGCTTAGCACCATGCTGATTTAATTCAGCTGGCGTTAAGCTGACCACCAGTTTTTAATCCATAACATTTAAATATCATTTCATAATAATGTATCAAGAAAACAGCTGTGTACTTTTCATTAAACCACAATTTTCTCACAATTTTTTATCCCCAGTACTGGCGACTGAACCCAGGGCCTTTCACAGTGAGACACATCCACAGCACACCCCACCATTTTTTTTTTTTGGAGACAGACCTTACTAAATTAGTAAATTGCCCAGGCTTGTCTTGAACTTGAGCTCCCCCTGCCTCTACCTGCCTTTTTCATTATTTATTTTGAGACCAGGTCTCACTAAGTCACTAAATTGCCCAGCCATGCTCAAACTTGGGAGCTTCCAGCCTCAGCCTCCTGTATAGTACTAGGATTACAAACTTGGATCAGCAGGTCATTTCAGAAATTTTTGTTTGTTACCTTGGTTTGAGACAGGGTGGCCTTGAACTCACTATGTAACTGGCTTCAAATTCACAGCAATCTTCTTGCCTCAGCCTCCCAAGTGCTGGAATCACAGGCCTTTTTACAGAAACTTTTAAGAAACTTTACATAAGCTCTTTAGTTTCAAAGGATGGGCATGTAGCTGAGATAGGATTGTTGTTCAGATACCCAGAGAGCCAAAACCATTTGCCTATGGAGATTAATTACACTATCTGTTTTTACTTTGTGTTTTAGTACCTAAGACTATCAATTTTTTTCAGCTGAACAAAAGTAAAAATTGCATTGTACTTATTAAGTAAACATTTATCAAGCACAGTGTCAAATACTGTACTTAATTACCAAATTCCTCGTTCTGCTCTTGTTCAAATTTCATTGTTCTATTCTTTAACTCTTTAGAAATTACTTTTCAAAATTTGTTACTAAAAATGATGAGGTATTATTAAAAATTTTGTTATAAACATAAAAATAATGCATCTTGTTTATTGTTTGGATCAGCACGCTCCTTTTGAAAACATTTAGCTATGTTGAGGTTACCAATGACCTACTTTGAGAAAACAAATCAGGAAGCACACTAACTTAGTTGTGGCAACTACCAGTGATGTCACCATATTAATCAATCTATGGAGCAACATGTATGACTCAGGAGGAGTGCCTGGTTGATGAAACAAGATCACATTGTTAGGCTAACAGAATGAAAAATCACTCTACTTTGATGAAAAATTAATCAGTCCTGTATAAAACTTTTGTATAAGTTATCTCTAGGTCCTCTGAATTCACTTCCAGGAAAAAAAAAATAAAGTCACTTCCAGAACTATCTTAAATTTTTTCAAACTACTTAAGCCAGTAGACAACAGGCCTACTTATTAAAGCTATCCAACTAGGTGTATATCCACAAATTATTAAGGTTATGCTCAGATGCTAAAGTTTAATGATGAAATGCAATCTAGCTAAGCTATTAACATCTTAGGTTCAAATGCTACGTTTTTATCGCATAAAAAAAAAAGCCATCCTTCTGTTTATTTAGTCATACTCTCCACCCCCATGACTCCACTAAAATCGTCCTCGATTCAAACATCCCAGTCCCACTCAAATAGCTGAGTTATCTCCCTGCAGGCCTGCAGGCTGAGCAGCCACTCCCAGGTTGTAGGGACACCAGTCACAGGATCCTAGCCTTTTAACACCACTTTTCACTTCCAGGGCACAAAAAGCACTAGAATGGGACCGATACTAGTTTTCCTGTTGGTAAATTGCCCATCTCTTCAACTGGATTTTTGCCTCCATACGTTTCTCCTCTTACCCACCAGTTTGGGAAACTCCAAGGAGAAGGGTTTGCAGGTATCCTCAGAGCCAGCTCAAAGCCCAACCAATGCGTCACTTTGATCCCGAGCTGTTCCTTTCCAGAGAAGCCTCCACAAAGGCGCTGGATCCCCGCAAAGGATCCAGTTACGATGTCTGCTTTTAGACTGTCCTAGGGCTGTTACTTAGATCCAGGAAGACAAACCAGCTAAACCATTCAGTCTATAGAAGCGCGATTAAAGTTCTACACTCGGCAAATAACCCAGAGTAAAAACCCATAAGAGGAGCACATTTTTAAGACTGGGGGAAGGGGTCCGTGTTTCACAACATATACTGGGAAAAACAATAGCAAGAGGCAACACCAAACTGTTTGGCGCCTGTAATAGGCGCCATCAACCAGTTACTTTCTCGCCAAACGCGGGCGAGAAGGGCGGGAAGGAAAAGCCCCCTCCTCGGTCCAGGAATACTCATCTCGCAAGCCGACTCACGCACGCGCACTCAGTTGCTTAGCGACAACAGCGCTAAGCCACCGCCCAGCAACAATCGAGCGGCCAAGTCTCTCACCACTCAGCGCCTAGCTCACCTTCACACGCCTTACCAATCAGCGCCGGCGCCGCAAGGAAGTTTCCAGAGATTTCGAGGAAAATCCTTAAACTTGGATTCATCCGCCTGGTAATTTTTTCATTATATTGTAAAGGAAGAGAAGGAAAGCCTGGAGGAGAAAGGATATAATCTTTTAGGATCCTCTGTTTCGGTTGTGAAGAATTAGGGCTGAGTTGAAAAATTTAACTGAGTCGTGAGAGATAGAGCCGAGCGAACTACTTTCAGCGGCGCAGGGAGACGGAAGCTACGTAGCGGTGCTAAATGACGCAACAGACGTTGCATAAATAATAGGTCCGCCAACTCACGGCGTTCAGTAAGGAGTGGCTTTCCGGAGTAAACAGTTGTGTTTATCCGGTGGCTGGACGTCTCTGGCGTTTTTGTGGCTTCTTCGCATTCGATAAAAGGTATGACCTGTGGCGTTGAGACCTGGAATAATTGCAGAAGGGTTTTAAGCGCGGTTCGGCTGGGGATTTCTTGGGACTGAGTGAGTCTTGAGGGGCTAGAAAGGGGGAGGGGAGGGCGAAGTGACGTGACTCAGACCGGCCGTTTTCCGAACAGTGGGCCTTGTTTGCGTGAGGGTTGTGGGGCAAGGGGGCGGCAGCGACGGCCGGCGTGCGCGGTCAGAGGCCAACGGAAGCTTAACCAATGGAGCTTCCGTCTGGTTTACTGAAGCAGTAAGGCCGAAGAGAGAGAATTTTTTTGTGACCTGTGTAAAGCTTAATAATGACTCACTTTGGAGAAGAGTTCCATTTCTTTCAGTGGAAATTTTTGCACTGGGTCTTGGTCATTTGGTTTTGTTCTTAATTTTTGGCCAGGCTTAGGTTTGGGGAAATGAGTAGAGGAATGTAAAGCACCCTGAACAGCAAAGAAAAATGTGTACTAAATTAGAAAGTACTCAGGATTCTTCGTTAAATTGAAATCTTGTGTGTTCAGTGGAAATCTAAAGAATTTAGAAATACGCCTTAAGGCATTTTGAGAGAATATTTAGCGGTTTTAAAGAACGTTTTTAGATGTTAAATGTATATAATCTTAAAATGGTATTTGTCATTTTAATTGTAGGTCAAAATGCAAATCTTCGTGAAAACCCTGACTGGCAAGACCATCACCTTGGAGGTGGAGCCCAGCGACACCATTGAGAATGTGAAGGCCAAGATCCAGGATAAGGAAGGCATTCCACCTGACCAGCAGAGGCTCATCTTTGCAGGCAAGCAGCTGGAAGATGGTCGCACTCTTTCTGACTACAACATCCAGAAAGAGTCCACTCTGCACCTGGTGCTGCGCCTGAGAGGTGGGATGCAGATCTTCGTGAAGACTCTGACTGGCAAGACCATCACTCTGGAGGTGGAGCCCAGCGACACCATTGAGAATGTGAAGGCCAAGATCCAGGATAAAGAAGGCATTCCTCCTGACCAGCAGAGGCTTATCTTTGCAGGCAAGCAGCTGGAAGATGGTCGCACTCTTTCTGACTACAACATCCAGAAAGAGTCCACTCTGCACCTGGTGCTGCGCCTGAGAGGTGGGATGCAGATCTTCGTGAAGACACTGACTGGCAAGACCATCACCCTGGAAGTGGAGCCCAGTGACACCATTGAGAATGTGAAGGCCAAGATCCAGGATAAAGAAGGCATTCCTCCTGACCAGCAGAGGCTCATCTTTGCAGGCAAGCAGCTGGAAGATGGTCGCACTCTTTCTGACTACAACATCCAGAAAGAGTCTACTCTGCACCTGGTCCTCCGTCTGAGGGGTGGCTGTTAGTTCTTCAGTGTCCAAGATGGTAGTACTCTGCACTATAGCCATTTGCCCCAATTTAAGTTTAGAAATTACCAGCTTCAATAATAGCTGAACCTGTTCAAAATGTTAATAAAGGTTTTTGTTGCATGGTAACATGTCTGTGTTGAAATTCTGTAGTAGTATGGGAACTTAACTGGTTAAAATGGTGTTGAGACAGGGATTTAACTTTGGGACTGGTAATGTTCCCCCCACTTAGCTATATAGTGGGGGGAGTGGGCTGTTGGAGCTTTAGAATTGCAAGGGTTAACAGCAGCTAATTATAGAGGCCTTTATAAATTAAAGAGGAAGAAAGTGTTATCTGTTTAGGCTTAACTGTTGAGCCTGCATTTTTAAAAGTGTTTCTGGGAGTGTACATTTGTTTCTAGTAAGTAGTAAAATAAAACTTTCTATTGTTTCTGTATGTGTTTAACTCTTGAGCCAAGTAGTGGCGCATGAGTCATTAGGTTTTTATTTTTTTGGTACTGGGAATTGAACTCAGCATCTCATGCTTGCCTCTGCTGCAGAGCTATATATTCCTGGCCCCAAATGACAGAAAAGAAGTGGGAGTGGAGTACTGGGATTTGAACTCTAAACCTTTCACTTGCCAGGCAGACACTGTACTGGTGAGGTATATCTTTGGCTCTAGGATTTAAAGGAGAGTGGCTAAAGAGATTATTTTTGAAGCACAGAAGCTAAAAGGATGCAGTATTCTGATCTAAGGCAGCTTGTAGTTTGTGTTTTGTGTGTGTGCTGCAAGTGCTGTACCACAGCTATATTCCCAGCCTACAGTTGGTTCTTAATGACTTAAAGAGCTATATTGTAAAAGTAAGATTGCTATATCAATGAAGGAAGAAATTGAGTGGTTTTGGGACATGGGCCTGTTGGGGTTTGTTTTGTTCTGATACTGGGGATCCAACTCAAGACCTTGTGCTTGCCAGGCAGAAGCTTGTGCCAAGTACCTGGCTGACCAGTGGTTTTTGATGTGTTTTTGAAAGGTGTTCAGGCTGGTGTTGAATGCACTATGAATATTTGGCTGGCTGCAAATTCATGGAAATCATGCCTTGGCTTCCCAAGTGCTGAATTACACACCTGTGCCTATACTTAAGAGGGCATAGAAGGGAAAGAAATTGGAGGAAACCCTTCTGGTTTTCTCAAGGTAATGGTAGAAAAATAAAACATGTCAATAGTAAGTGCACCTAAAATATACATATATTTTAATTTGTTCTTACTAGGGAGTTGAACTGCAAGAGTCTTCCCACTAAGCTAGGGACCCAGCTTTACCCTGCTCCCCCTTAATTTTGCTGGGTTTGAATTTAGGATCCCCCAGTTTCAGGCTTCCAGAGTACTGGGGTGATGGGTTTGCTAGAGACACTTTTTGAATTGCTGTACAACCTACTTCATGGTATGGTTGTTACCTCCTTGCTGGTGGATATTTAGAATGTTTTCAGGATGTACAAGTGAAATCAGTATATAATTTAAAGTTCTGTAAAAAATTATTCTTCAAAAAGGTAACTGGAATACTTTTTTTTTTGCTGTAGAGAAAAACACTTTATTTGTACTCTACTACAAATGTGCTGTACAATTACAGTTCAGCTTACTCAGAGTTACTGGGTAGCAAACTACAGAAAATAGAGGAAGCATTCAATAATCTCACAATTAACAAGCAATAGATACTTGAATGCTTCACTTTGACAATGAGCAGATGGTTTATCACTAATAGTAACTGGTTTCTTTTAAAAAGAGACCAGATTCAGTAATGGAAGTAAAAAATATTTTAAAGAATACTGCCTTTAGAAAATATGGGTCTTGGGGCTGGGGATTTAGCTCAGCGACATAAGTACCTGCCTTGCAAGCAGGCGGTCATGAGTTCGATCCCCGGTACCGATAAAAAGGAAAAAGACAAAAAAAAGAAAATATGGGTCTTGAGGGCTGGGGATTTAGCTCAGCGGCATAAGCACACCTGCCTTGCAAGCAGGCAGTCGTGAGTTCCCGGCTGATAAAAAGACCAAAAAAAAAAAAAAAAAAAAAAAGAAAGGAAAGAAAATACGGGTCTTGAGCCAGGCCTGATGGCTCAACGCCTGTCTGTAATTCCAGCACTCGGAAGGTTGAGGGAAGAGGATCATTGAGTTCGAGACCAGCCTGGGCTACAAAGTGAGCTCAAGGCCAGCCTGAGCTGCATAGTGAGACCTTGTCTCAAGAAAAAAAAAAAAATACTGGTCTCCTTGGGTCTTGTGCTGCTATGGAATACTGTTTTTTTTTTTTTGGTTTTTTTTTTTTTTTTTTGAATACTTTTTAAAAGGAAGGAATTTCTGATGTACTACAACATGAATGAGTTATGGGGCTTTAAAGGCAGCGTGTCATGGTCCTTAAAATGCAGTCTCAGCTTTTTACTCTGCATCAGTATATGTTTTTGCAACTTGGTGATTTTGTCACCATGAATCGTCTGAAGTGTCCCCAGACTTTAGCTCCTAAAACTTGACCTAAGGGTCTAGGCCCCATGTCAATAGCTTGGGCTTCAGGACAACTGTGGTGCATGCCTATAATTCTAGCACTCAGAAGGCTGAGGCCGGAAGTGTCAAGGCCAGCCTGAGCAAATTAGACCGTGTCTCAAAGAATATGAAGTACTGCACTATGGCCCACTCTCTTGGACTTAAGTATGCAACGAAGACCAAAATCATCTTTGAAGAACAGAGGTAAATTCTTACAGCTTGAGAATTATCTTCACCTAGAGTGGAAAATGCTGACAGTTGTATCCAACAAAGGATGCTTTAGTGTCTTCAGGAGAGAAAAAGAGCTTTAGGGCTTGTTTAAAGGCCTTACTGATATTTTCCCCAGCTCGCCAAGCATCCTTTCAAAAGACCCAGGGCCTTGTCCTCCCATTGCAGTTTACCCACCAGCTTTGGCCACATAGTGTTTCCCTGGGATTTTTTTTTTTTAACTTTTTTGTTGCACTTTTCAAAATTGTATACTTTAGCTAGAATGATACCCCTCACCATAGGGAATTTGTACCTGTACATTGTATATCTTTTTTCTCATTCCCTTCCTCTCTCTTCAACTCTTTGCCTTATTTACAAAAGTTTTGTTTTGCTTTTTGCCTTTTTTAGACCCTTTCCTCCTCTCCCCTCCCTTGTTCTCCTTTCATTCAAACATTTTCTTCCTATTTTCTCAGTATGTTTTATGCATTTTGGTCCTTATTAATACTTTTGGTTGCTCACACCAGAGAAAACAATACAGTATTTAAACATATATCTGGTTTATTTCATTTAATGGTATGTTATCAAGGTGCATCCATTTAGCTAGAAATGTCTCAAACTTGTCCTTTATGGCAGAGTAGGACTCCATTGTGAAACGACAAAGTCCCACATTTTATCCATTCATCAGTCAATGAGTATTTGCGCTGTTTCTTAAGATTTAGCTACTACAAACTGCCACTATAAACTTGAGTAAGCAAATACAGCTTTTAATTCAGGAAGATACCAAGAATGGAATAGCTGGGTCGAATGGAACCTCTAGTTTTAATTTTTTTGTAGAATCTCAGCACTGATTTCCACAGTGGTTGCAGCAGTCTACATCCCCATTCCCAGTGGTAATAGTGCACATCCTTGTCATCCTTGTCTTGTTCATTTAGAGTGGACCAGTTTTTTTTCCCCCACAACCCCACCAGCATTTTTCTTTCTTTTTTTTTTTCTTTTTTTTCTTTTTTTTTTTTTTGTCTTTTTTTCGTTTTTATCGGTACCAGGGATCGAACTCACAACTGCCTGCTTGCAAGGCAGGCACTTATGCTGCTGAGCTAAATCCCCAGCCTCCCACCAGCATTTCTTATTGGTTGATTTCTTGTTGATAGCCATCCTTTCTGGAGTGAGATGGAATCTCAGCATTGTTTTAATTTGTCTCTTGAATGACGAGTGAGATTGAACATGTTTCATATATTTATTTGCATCTAAGAAATTTTTTCAGGGTTTTTTCTTTCTTTTTTTTTTTTTTTTTTTTTTTTTCATTTCAGATGCCCATTTTTGGATTGGGTCTTTAAATTTGAGGGGTCTGATTGTTTTGAATTCTTTATTCTACAAATTAATCCTTTGAGGAGCAGCTGAGAAAAATTTTTTTCCACAATTTGATCATCTCTTTACTCCATTGGTAGTTTCTCTTGCTTGCAAACATAACCTTTTAATAAGATGAGATCCTAGTTATTGATCCTTTGTGATATTTCCTGTGTCATCGGGGATTTGTTTTAGTCTCTACCCATATCAGTGCCTTTAAGAGTTCTATCTGTATTATATTCCAGCAGATTCAGTGTTCGTTTCAATATATAGATCCCTGATCCATTTCAACTTCAGTGCATGGTGAAAGATATGGATCCAGTTTAAATCTTTGGCATGTGAAGAGCCATTTTTTTTTTTTTACCACTTTTAAAAATATTCTTCCACTGAAGGTATTTGGCTCCTTTGCTAAGTGTGTTTGGAGTTGTTTCTGCATAGTCTAATCTGTTCCATTGATCCTTAGTTCTTTTTCTCTTGTTTATTTTTGTCAGTACCATGCTGTTTAATTACAGTAGATTTATAGTATAATTTCAAGTGAAGGATTATGATGCTCCCTGCCTTCCTTTGTTGCCCAGAACAACAATTGTCTAATTGCTATTGCCTAATTGTCTCTTGTCTAATTGCTTTTGCTATTCTAGGTCTCTTGTGGTTCCAGATGAATTTTAGGATTGTTTTCTCTAATTCTATGAGAATATACTACTAGTATTTTGATCAGGATGGCATTAAATCTGTGTAACAATTTCATTTCACTACATTTTCACCATATTTATTCTTAATGGTTTTTTTGTACCAGGGATTGAACTCACGACCTTGCACTTGCCAGGCAGGCATTTATGCCGCTGAGCTAAATCCGTGGCCCCACTATGTTTATTCTTCCTACCCAAGAACAGAGAATATCTTTCCATTTTCTGATACTCTTTTGAATCTCCTTTTTCGGAGTACTGTAATTTCCAGTGTAAAGGTCTTTTTTAGATTGATTCCTAGGTATTTCTTTTCTTTTTTGGGGGGAAGAGATGCTATTGTGAAAGGTGTTGTTTCCCTAATATCTCGCTGTGAATTTGTTATTTGTGTACC